TTTGTCTACAATGTTTTGAATACAAAATTATTTTCAATTCATTATTTTTGAAAAAAATTTGATAAGGTTTTTAAGAAAAGAGGTTTAGAGAGGATGGATATGGAATGGTCATTGGATAGCTGTATTGCAAGGACTTGTTGAGGTTGTTGAGGTGTAAAGGTTTATTGAGGGATTTTGGATGTGGAAAGTTATAGGTGGGAGAGCTTTGTTTCTCAGAGGGTGGAGTTATGAAAAAGCTGATGGAGGAGCCTAAACTTTAGCAGCATCTGGAAGCTCTTTTCTAGTCAATTCTCTATTCTCTGGGTGTGTTTCAAAGAGCTTTTACCTGACAAGTACAGCTTCCTTTAATGGGCTGTTGAATTAGAATGTTTAGGCTAGAATGAATTAGAATGGGCTTAGGAATTGTTCTGGCTTTTAAAAAGAGATAAGATGTAAACTTCACTAAGAAGGCCCATTTTAGTAATATATAGGATTACATTTTGAAAGCGTATTCAACTTGTGACCTGGAATGCTGGCATGTTCCATATATTTTCTTTTATGCATTGATTATGAAGAGATTCTGTCCATCTATTTGAAAGTGTAGATGACAAAGGATAGTATCTATTTCAACCCACTCCCGGGATTCCATTATATTTTGGCCTTGTACAGCACTGTGTTTAGGCGTTAGCAATGAATCTTCCCTGATTCTTGGTGTGCTTGGGTACTAGAGAAGGAGCATTTACTGTCCAGATCTATTTACTCCTGGCTAGGAGTTTACAAAATCACGTTTAGAAAATGTATACACTAAGAAGTAGTTATTAGTTGAACATGCTGGGCATGCTCTCAGCTCAGGGCCTTTGCACTTGCTATTGCCTTGGCCTGAGATACCCTTAGCTCCCACTTCTTCACCTCAGGTCTTTACTCTGACCTCACCTTCTCCCATGTACCTCATCCCAGCACACCTCATCTCCTCCATTTATCATTATCTCATTATTTGGTTCCTATCTGCTGGCACTAAAATGCAAGTGTGGTGAGGGAGTTTTGTGTGTTTGGTTCATTACTGTATCCTAGGGCTTCATACTGTGCCTGACACCAACAAGTTTGTATTAGTTGGATGGCAATACATCGAATGGATAAACTTGACTATATACCACTTTTACTTGGACATGATTTGTCTATACATAATCCAGATCCCAAGGTGAACTGTATCAAGGGCCATAGATCTGTGACTATATGGAGCAGCCCACAGACCCACTGTGAGGGTGCAGAGTGTCATTGTGGTCAGGAATCTCCTCTGAGTTCCATTGGCCAGTTTTACTGCTATTTCGGCAGGTGGGGCCATTGCCGAGAGTAAACCTGACACCGCGAGGACCCCATTATCTTCCCTGGACACTTGGAATCAGTCCCCAGACTTTTTTGCCTTGACTTGACCTCTGTGCTTGCTCTGTTCATAGTGCCAATGTCATTTTTGGTGGGAAGCTTGAAAGTGGGTGTCTATTCATTCTCGATTTCTTGACCCCCAATTTGAAAAGCCACATCTTGCACATTCCTTGAGTTTATCTGCTGGGTGAGTCTATGCAACTAATGTCATGTTTTATTCCTCCAAGCAGGCAGGAGTCAGTCTGAGCACAGTTGCTATTATATCTACTTAGTGCCACACTCTAATTATGTCTTATCATTCGTTTTTTGTAGGAATCAGGCAATTACAGACATCTGAGACTTTCTGAGGTCAAGCCTATCACTTTTCAGGCTTATTGGCAGGCACCAAAGGTACTTTGTAGTTGTGATGTCCTTTCTGTCTGGCCCAACATTTTCAGCCTGCTTGAAATTTCCAGTCAGTCTTTGGATTGTGCTGTAATCCTTGTAAGGTCTCTTTAAACTGAAAGTACATTACCTTGGTGGGAAACTCATTAATCCAGGAGTACTCATTGGCATGGACTTATTCCATTGGAATTGCTAGGGGAGAAGCAGATAGATCCCTGATAGCATGGGCACCAGGATAGTAGTTTTGATGGAGGTGGGCGGTGAGAGAGAGAACTGGAGCATGGGAACTGGACCTCTGACTGCAGACGGTAGGCATGAGCGAGTGGCACTAGAAGAGGCCATGACTATGAGGGAACTTGAGGAGTGGGAAGAAGGGAAGTCAGAAGAAAAAGGAGAGGGCATGAGAAGACAGCCATGTGGGACCAACAAGAGCCCTCAGAGTCTTGCACCGGGATCTTCTACAGCCTGGCCTACAAGATGATGTGTACTTTTTTTCTCTTTAAATGGAGTAGGAATAAATCATGTCTCAAGAAGATTCTTGACTAGTAAGAATTGGTCTAACATGCTTTGGGTATATGTCTATTTAGCATCTCTCTTTTTCTAAGTAGTAATGGGTATGTGCTTGCAAATGAATTGACAGGTAAATCTTATTCCCGTCAGTTTTCTTTTATGCAAGTAGAGTGTTGAACACAGAGCCATGTCTGTGAATTATCAAATCTAGACAAGTGAGCAGATAGATCAGCTTTAAGGTAGTCTTGATAGTACAAATGTCGAAGCCTTGCTGTATTTAGAATGCACATTTAACCTCCTCTTTTTTCCTTCGGTCCCCATGCTCGTTCATTTTGTAGACTCTGAAGTCATTATGGCATTGTCAAGTGGTTGGTGCAGGGCAGAGGAGACAAGGCTCACTGAACTGGGTCATGAGTTCTGGGAAGAACTTGGCCACATCACAGACTCCACTGACCTATAAAAAGTGTTGTTAATCTCCTTACTGTCTGCCTTACAAGATCTGAGAGCAGAAATGAGGTAATGAGGTACTTAGACCTTTGAGCTTCTCGGAAGAACAGCCTTCTACAGTAATATGATTTCCTAATGCATTTGTTTGTATTGTAATGGAATATAATTCCATTTACCTAAATTTCTTTGGATGTCTCTAGAACATCGGACAGTCTTGCACAGGGGAAGCTGTCCAGCTTTGAGAGCAGGGACTGAGCTTAGACTGGAACTTTCGAAGGGTCTTCAGCGAAATGAGCCAGCTATGAATTTGTGAGGTTAAGGGACAAAAGCTGGGAGAGAAAATATGGGAGCTGGTGGTGGTGGTGATGGGGAGGGAAAATTGTAATTATGTTCAGAGAGTTAATATCATACTTTTAAATCATGTTTTACTAAAACCAATACCTTGATATACTTTCAAATATATATGTTTAATTTAACAATATTACATATTGAAGGACTCATCCATAATATTGACCCCGCTGTCATTCTCTCTCTGTATAGGCTCTTTTAACTCATCCCCCTTCAAGGCCTTATTATGTTCTTTCAGTTCCTTGGGCCACAACCTGGTTGTTTAATAACTTGTTTCCAACTCAGACACCAGTAGTTCAGTACAAACACTAACAGATTTATAGATTCATTTGTAAAGCACCTAATAAATTACTAAATAATGCTTTATCTTGTTCTGTAGATAAAAGAGTAAATCTTTTTTATTGAAAGATCCCTGAGCAGTATAATTTTTTAATAACCTTCTTGAGCAGTATTACAGTTAGGTTGGCTTTTAGCCAGTCCTAAGAAAAGAAGTTAAAGGACGAAAGTGAGGGAAGTATACAAATGTATCATCTCTGACAAACTATAAAGATGTCAATTTAGGTTACAGGTATTGTTATTGGACAGTTTTGTTGTGAAATTTTCTAGAAATGATTGGTTCTTTGGCATTTCAAACCTATTGTTTCAAAAGGTGGTCACCCTCTTTTAAAATGAACTTTAAGTAACTACTGAGTTAATCAGGAAAGACAATAGTATATCCTCTTTTCCAGAGAGGTAATCATATACACTTTTTAATAGCAACTGATTTGTATTTTTAGAGCAATGATACTAATCATATTCCATTTTCTGGGGGAAGGAAAAGTGTTACAACTTTTATTTGCTAAATTATGTGTTTAATGCAGAGAGGACATATCTTATTACCCAAAATATGGCCTGAAAAAATAAATCCCTACCAATTTTGTGTTGTATGCCAGGGACATATGAAAAAAGGGCATTTTGTTAAATTAAGAACATTTTATATAAGAAAAAAGATATAAAATACTAGGAATTGCTCTTTGGACCAAAATAATCTTTTACTAAAAACTATAACTCAGGTTACAGTTCATATGAATTAGATTGTAAATAATCTTAATAAAACCAAATTTTTGTTGGAAGACATCATCACAAGAACATAACTACCAGCTGACCTGGGAGCAAGGCCCAGGCAACTGGAGGCTCCTCATGTCCTCTCTTGTCCCCAGAATTTATGTTCTGCCTAATGCCCCCACACTGGGAACGTTTTTCAAAGATTCAGTCTTAAAATAATGTTCTTGTTGCAACCATACATGCTGAACCCAGTAAGGCCTCTGTATACACTTTGAAAATTCTGGTAGGTTGCCCTGGCTAGTGTGGCTCAGTGGATTGAGTACCGGCCTGCGAACCAAAGGGTTGCCAGTTTGATTCCCTGTCAGGGCACATGCCTGGGTTGCGGGCCAGGTCCTCATGAGGGGAAGCGTGAGAGGCAACCACACTTTGATGTTTCTCTCCCTCTCTTTCTTCCTCCCTCTCCTTCTCTGTAAAAATAAAAATAAATAAAAAATAAAATTCTGGCAGGAGGGGGCAGAGATCTACTTGCCTTGTAGCCACAAGACAAGCTTTGTAAGTTCCTTTGCTCATTAAACTGCCACCTACCAGTTTAGAGCGGTCAGCCTCTTTCTTTTGTCTGTCTTTGCCCTCTGTGTATGGGGGCCAGTTTACCTAGGGAAGATCCTGGGACCGCGAACCAACAATTTTTTTTATTCCTGGCAATTTACTAAAATTTGAATGAGCATTTCTGAATGTTAAACAGGTTGTGCAATTTTATGCCTTCATGTAAAAACATCACAGTAAATTTATTATCTTCTGCAGTCGTGTATGAATGTAACTACGGCATACTTTAAAAACAGATTGGAAAATGTCCTCTTTATATTGATCTACTGCACATTAAATTGTGATTTTTAAAAATTTTTTTTCAGAATCGAAGCAAACGCTTGGAGAAGGTACATGTGGTTATTGGACATAAATCGTGTGACTTGGATTCTCTCATTTCTGCCTTCACATATGCTTACTTTCTGGACAAGGTGAGGAAAAAGAAGATTATGCTATTTAATTTGAATTTAAATTGTAACTGTTCAGTACAAATGTTTTGAGGTTATAAAAGAACGTATTAACTTACGTTTTCATGCTCTGGTTTATTGTTGCAGAGAATAATGTATTATAATTCATTAATCAAAAATATTTGTTGATCACCTAATATATGCCAGACATTGTTCTAGTTATTTCTTTCTGATTCTCTTCAGACAAGACTATTTCAAGAAGATCAATGTTTTCAAATTAAAAATGAAAAATTTTAATGATATTTGAATAGTTGTATAAGAATTCAGAGAACTACTGTAAGGATGGGTCAGAATTCCTTGTTTCCCTTACCATCCTTGTTGGATAGCCTTGCCCTCGGGAGCAGGAAGATGTGGGCAGAATGACCTGCATGGACACTGCAGGAAGTACAGAGCTCATCGGCTGAAAGTTTCAGTAGCAGAAATATCACAGGTCTCATCTATATTCTGTTTTTGCCTGTTAGCCCTGGCTTTGTCCAGCAAGGTCACTCTCAGTTACTAATCATCTTCTTTGAGTGAGAATCTTTGTAAAGACTATACTATTCTTATAAAGGTAAAAAAAAAGACCTTTCAATAAGTTGTTTTCAAATTTCCATTCCACAAAATTTCACCAGCCCATGACAATTCATTATCTTAAAGCCAAAAAAAGAAAAAGGGCATTCACACAAGTTTTAATTTTCTGGAGCCTGTTTCTTTTATTCCTATTCTGTTTGGATCCTTGACTCTTAGATTTTGCATAGCTGATCTAGAGTAATTTAATTCACATGAAACCAAGTTGTCCAGAATGAGCTGTGGATGGCAAGAATGGCTTTCGGGCAGAAACTGACCAAAATGACAGATCAAGTACTCTGATCTCTACATACAGGCTTTATAGCAAATATATCTTAAAATTTGTTGAATTTTACAAAAGAGGTTAATTGGGATGAGGAAATAAGTGTGCTTGTCTCAAGTCATGCATATGAAATGCCATTATTATTAACTGGATTTTTGACTCCTAGAAAAAAATATTGCGTGTCTCAAAAGCATAGAATTGACTGAATCAGACTGATTTTTAAACTGGAGGCATAGATTTTTAAGAAAAATATATAATAATTACACCATCAACAATAACTACAGTGTCTTGAAAAGTAGTTCTGATAGGTAAAATAGATAGATAACAATAAAGTGATGTGCGGCCTCTTTACTCCTTCTTCCAAGGTTTGCCACTGAGCATGGAGAAAAACATCCATTCCTGAAGGGGTCACACACTGGGAATTCACTGTGATTCTGTGCCTTGCTCTTAGTTTACTGGACCCCATCCCCTACCAGAGGCCTGAATCTCTATTTTAATTTTTCCTGAAACCCTGGCTATTTCCTCTTAGAGTAGTAGCACATAAGATAAGTACAGAGACTTGCACCTTCACATGTAAAACTCCATTTAACTACTTTTCACTCTAATATGTAAGCCTCATTTTACAGATGGGAAAACTGAGGCTCAGAAAAGACATTGGCTTCCTCAAAGCCACACAGCAGTAGCTGGGCCTAGAACCTAGTTCTTCAGACGCCAGCTTGTTAGGCTGGGTTCAGGCTGCATGCTCTTGACTCAAGTTTCAATACTAGGAGTTAGATACAACTCTATCAATTAATTGGGAAAAATAACTTGCCATAGACCAATAACTAATGATTATGATACAGTTGTGACTCAGTATTAGTCTGACAGGTTGGAGAAAAACTATTTTGTTGGAGTGACTTTGTGCTTCATATACGATAGCAGTGGGTGATTCATTTATTTCACTCAACAAATACATATTAAATGTCTACTTTGTGCCAGACTGCTTTATGCACTGGGAAATGTAACTGAACAAAACAGACAAAATGTTCTGCCATTTTCATGCTAAGAAGGAGAGATGGATGATAAGGATGTTAAAATTGCATAATAAACACTATGCTGTGACAGATAAAGGTCATTTACTTTATGCAAAAAATTCAGTGTTACCAAACTCCACATTCTCTCAGTGATATTTAGAGTTTGTGGCAATACACTCATAGTATTTTTAAAAACCCCTGTGTTTTAAAATTCCTATAGAAAAATCTGTTTATTATTGTGAATCTAAACTTCTCTTAACTCCTACCCATCTCCTGTTTCCCTCTATTACAATAATTTTAATAACAGGTTTGTTAATATAGGATATAAAAAATTATCTAAGAAACAGCACTGGCCTCTAAATGGATTGAGCACCAGCCTGTGAACTGAGAAGCTGCTGCTTTGGTTCCCAGTCAGGGCACATGCTTGGATTGTGGCCTGGTCCCCAGTTGGGGGTGGGAGAGAGGCAACCCATCCATATATTTCCTGCACCTTGACGTTTCTCTCCATCTCTTTTTCCCTCCCTTCCCCTCTCTCTACAAATACATAAATAAAATCTAAAAAATAATATAAGGAACCAACAGAAATTGCAACAATTAGTCTTTGGGCCAAAATCGGGCTCCTGAGTGAGTTTTCATTAACCTACATAGTATTTTTATTTAAAAAAATTAATTGTAACTGTTAAACATTACAGATAACACTCCAAGATCCAGATTTTCTTGAGTAATTGAAAGATTTGACCACCCTGGGCCTGAATTTTTGCATGTAAGAGTTGGCTGGGGCTGGGTGGCAGGCATCCCATGGGGATGGGACAGGTGTGTCTCTGTGTCACCGTGGTCCTCCCCCGCCCCACGCCAATCATTCTAATTTTCTGCTGATTCCATAAAGAAATGAGAATTTATTTCCCCGGAGAAGGCAAATGTATTCATCATATTTTTAAAATTGTGGAGGGGTTGAAATGAGACAAAATATTTTAAATAAAACATGAGAAATTTCACTTAGAGCAACAAGAGGTTAAAAAATGTTAGAGGCCTCTTGCCTGTGGATAATGCCCTGCTAATGGGGTTCAGGAAAAGTGGGTTATGAATGTCAAATGGTTTAAGGAAGCCAAAAGATTTTTGTTTCCTTTGCTAGTGAAACTCAGCCTGAGAGTGTAGTTGTATTCTTTCCTCCTGCTGTTGTCAGATTGTTACATTTTACTTGGCAGGTCAGTCCACCTGGGGTGCTCTGTTTGCCAGTGCTGAACGTACCAAGAACTGAATTCAACTACTTCACAGAGATAAGGTTTATTCTAGAAGAGCTAAATATCTCAGAATCATTCCACATATTCCGAGATGAAATTAATCTGCATCAGCTAAATGATGAAGGAAAGTTATCTGTGACACTTGTAGGCAGCAACGTACTGACAAGGTGAGTCCTGGAGGTTTGGTCCTTTAAGGAAATCTCTTCTATGCAAAGCATCACCTTGTTCACGATTTTTGTGATTTAGGGAGATGTATTAAAGTCAGAGGACATTCAGAGGAAAGGAGATTTTTTTTTCTTCTCTTATGGCAAAATCTGAGCTACGCCCGTCCTCTGTTTTTACTTTTGCATTTCAAATGTGATATCTTTGAGGGGAAAGTTCTTATAAAATTGACCAAATTATAATTTTAAACCACTTCTAACATTTTTGTTATAACAATGCAACTGTCCTGTGTATTGATGCTGAAAACTGGTAAAAAAAAATTAGCATTAAACACTAAACAAAACTGAAAGGTTTTTAAGAAAGAAATATCAGTAGTGAAATGGAAATTTATGTAGAGGGGCTATGAAAGTCATTTGATCATTGGCTCATCATTGATATTATAAGAGCAGGATGGATTATATTTTATTCTTCATGAACTCCATATTTTATGGACAAAAAATAGTGTTGCAAATGACTTACCCAAGGTAGCCCTTGCTGTTAGTACATTTTGGACTAGATCTTGGGTCTTCTGCCTCCTTCAGTAAGTACTTAAGAATTGCTAACTAGTACAATATTCTAAAGGTACATAAAAAGTAATAAGACAAAAATTCTCTCTCTTCAAGGACCTTCCAACCCAACACAAAGATGCCCTTTTCATTAGCTCTCTAGTGCTACTGAAGGAAGAGTCACAGTTAAGCATCTCAGTGGTTTTAGATACTAGTTTTTTTGCATACCTTGCCAATTTGTTAATCATTGATGACATTAACCAGTGGACATTGATTTTATTATACATGAAATAAAAACTGGTACAAGTATCTCATTTTTACTTAACCTTTTTTTAGAAAGCATATTTCGGTAATGTCAGGTGTGCAGTTCACTCAATTATAAAGTTTTGAAAATAATTTTCCTGTGTGGGGATGCTTATATTCCCATGGTGTTTGAAATACACAAAATTCTTTGGGCTAATATTTATCAATCAATCGCTGATAACTCGCGGAGTGTTACTGGTAGGTTACTTGACTGACTTCACTTACCAGTATTCAGAATGATCGTATGCTTTACTACAGTTATGTGTTAACCTTTCAGACCAACAAATGCAAGTAGATACAAAAAGATGACAGTTGAAGAAGCCGAAGGAGTGAACTAGGAAACATGTGTATCATTTGAAATCTTAGGAAGAGTTTTGTTACCAATCAAGATGGAAAGTTATTGCTGCTTTTGAGACTGAAGTTATGAACTCTGGCTTTGGGATTGTTCAGGCATCTTTGTTCAGGAAAAAGAAGTCGAGATCTTTGTTTCCTTCATCACTACTTTTTTGGTTTGGGCACACAGAAAGAATAAAGTTTGTTTTATCCACATCTTCTTGCCTTTGATAACACCAACATTATCTCACATATAAAAAAAAAATCATGTGGAAATAAATAAGCTCATGCTATTTTTTCTCCAGCACAGTGAGGGACTGGATGTGCAAAGCTTGGAACCAGGTTGTCAGAGTTTAAATCCCAGTGAGTCTACTTACAAGTTTTCTGGCCTTGGGCAAATTTCTTAACTTCTTCATGCCTCTGTCTTCCCATTTGTAAAATGGGAATTTTAACAGAACCCATTTCATAGGGTCATTTTATAGTATAAAATGCAATAGTACCTCAAAAGTATTTAAAATAGTGTGTGACCCATAAATGAAGCTCAACAAATGTTAGCAATTACCATTGTTATTATCATTTTCCAGCAGCAAAGCAAGAGAGAGGAGGGCTAAGGTGTGAAGGCACTCTAAGAACTGTGGGGGAGGGAATTACTTAAAATGAAATGTGAAAACACATAGAATAAGGTTCTTCTGAGTCCTATGCACTTACTTATATTTTTGGCTATGGAAAAGAAGTCATTTGTGTGGGAGAAGAGATTAAATAATTCCAAAGAGTAAGAAAAGATGTCATATGTCTTTCTCTTTCTCTCCTCTGTTTGCCTTATAGTGAGGACAAAACTTTAGAATCAGCTGTTGTCAAAGTCATTAGTCCGGTTGAGCAGAGTGATGCTGGGCTTGAGTTCCGAGAGTCTTCCTCCTCCCTCGTTGTGAAAGAGATTCTCCAGGAGGCTCCCGAGCTCATCACTGAGCAGCTGGCTCATCTCCTCAGAGGTGAGAGATGACTCTTCCTATTAAATACTGGAAGGCTTAATGGAGTGTCTCTCGACTTGCTCATGCAGAAAGAGTGTGATCCATTCTTGGGTTAACAATCCCTTTAAAGACCACGGGAAGCTTCATCAGAGAGGCAGGGAGTAAAGAGTTTGTTAAAGAGTAGCATTATATTGAATATTAAAAATGTGCATTTAAAAATAGGCATGAAGAATCTTTGCTGTTTCACTAGACAAGAATATTAAATGGAACTCCTGCACCTCTGCTGGGGAGCTGGAATAGCTCCTCTGCCCTCTGACAGCTTCCAGAGGCGATTCTTGCCCCACTGTATGAATGGGGGCCAGAATTCCACGTTTGCACATTGAAATATCTCCTGATATTGACACATGCTTAGTTTGTATAATACTGTTTGGAAGGCAAAACTACACCTTTCATTTTGGCAATACTGTGCAAGACGGACTTTTATAGTCAAATCGTCACCTCCTTCTCCTCCTGTCTTTAATGTATTCCATTGTCACTCAGCCTATGTGGGACACTCTGATGTGGAGTCATCCATTACCCCCTAACCTCCATTTTGTCTCCATCAGTGGAGTCCACCACTTCCCAAAAGTGATTTCCAAGCTGGGAGCTGTCAGTTGACTTTGGTGCCACAAAATTACCACAAAAATCCTGTATTGTCTCATTTAAAACAGTTTGGGGTTTTTATATTAAGCTTTTTTCTTCTTTCAACACTCCACCTAGAACATAGGAGACACAGATTTTTCTCCGATGTATTTAAAACAAGAAAGTTAAAAACAGCAATGAATAGGCTGAAAGAACTAAAAAAGGAAGGAGAATACCAAGAGAATGTTGACTCAACTCTTTTAAAACCTTTCCTTCGCTTTCCCTGTCTCTACCACAATTTGGAGGTGAAAAGGTTTAAGCGTTATATAGTTCCTGTAAATGCTTTGGAACTAATGGTCCCAGTAAACCCATTTTAAATATTTTTCTGGCTAATGACATCTGTGAAATGCTCTATGGGAAACTGTGCCCCCGACTAAACTAAGTTAAGCGCAGAGGAACTAAGTTATCTCTGTGACAGAGCAGAAGGAAAATAAAGGCAATTGGGGATCTCAGCCAAGAGAGAAGTTGAGGGACAGTACAAAGGTGGGATGCAGCAAACAGTAGAGAATATTTTGTTTGCAAACTAAGAAGGTTGACTTACTGTTCAAAAAAATACATGTGTTACTTAGTAGGAAAGACTTACAGTCAATGAATAGTCCATCTTCATGATTTTCTATAAATAGTGAAGTTGTCAGTCAATCTGTAATACATTGATACAAAGATGATTTTGTTGATGATGCTGATAGTGTTATTCTGATTTAAGGAATTAGAAGGAATGCAGACCTTTTTGTTAGTTACCTTGGTTTGTTTTTTTTTTCTTTTTTTTTTTATTAATTTATTTACTTTTTAAATACATTTGTCTCTGCCTTCCCCCCACCTCTTTCCCTTGCCCCCCTCAGCTCTTCCCCTTTGGTTTTGTCCATGAGTCCTTGCTATATGTTCCTTGACTTTCCCTTTCCCTTCCCTTTCCCTGCCCCTCCCCCTCTTGTCTCTGTTGATTTCTTTTCCTTTCAGTGTTGCTGGTCATATTTTCCTTGCTTCCTTGCATTGTTGGTTAGGCAGTTACCTTGGTTTTGATTAGCAAAGATACCAAACATTAAAGCTATGGTGAAGGATTTTGGTTTTCCTTACCATCAGAGATTTTTCATAGGGTTGAGCTTGAGGTAGGATTAGGAAGCAACCAGAATAGCAACATCATGCCTTTGTCATTTGAAAACTGGAATTTGAGAGGCTGAAGTGCCTCTACCTGTGAAGACTGCCAATAGTGACACTGTCATGGGCACCCGAGTCACTGAAGCCTGGGAGGTAGATGACATAGGCAGCTTATGTAAATGGAAAACAGGTTCTTGAGAACTTTGCTAATGTGGGCATGTGTGCATGTTTGCATGTGTGTGCCACACCTGTGCAGGGGAGGTGAAACATCGCTGAACAGTTTTGCCCAGAGGGAGCTAAAGGATGGTGATCTAAGGAGTCTGATTTTAAAGAGGTAACTCAGCCGTTCATAAGGGCAATAGGCAATTTTTATAAGCTCCTAAATTTTGAGGAAATATAAGAAAGGCATCAAGTCAAGTTTTGCATTAGTCATGAAATTCAAACTTAGATTTCATACTTTTCCAATCATATATTAACACCAAACCTAAAAGGAGGTTTTTAAAATGTGCTTATGAATAATTTCAGAAACCTTTTTTTCATAACATAAATAGTCCTTTTCCTAAAGGGTTTTCTCTATAAGTTGCTACGATGTTATTTTGCATTTTGGGCACTCAGAATGATCATTAATTTAATACACCCTTCCAGAACATGTCTTTATGCATTTTTCTAGGTCTTGAAGAAATGCAAAAACTCTATGCACACCTTTGCCATAAACAATTTGGAAAAATGTCTACTTCCAGATGTTATGAGACTAGATATTTCTATAACATCTATGTTATATGGCTGCCTTGGAAGTCTTTAAAAGCTTCATAACTAGAACTGCATGGAGGATATGGTATTATAAATGTTGTACCAAAAAACCTGAATTTACTATGAACTAAACAATCAGTTTGGTTGTTCTTTGCCTTTCATTCTCATGGTCATATCCAAGAACACGACGTGCTGAGGCACACGGGTGTGCTATAAATGGACTTCAAATGGGCCAAGATATCGATCTCCTCAATCCTTGGAGAGCACCCTAAGTATGCCTCTCAGCCCGTGTAGCTGGAAAAAAAATGTAATTTTCAATGCATTTCTTAACTTTCAAAAAGTTTGGCCTACTCTTCCTTAGTTTTGCTTGTTAGCTCTTCTCTGCTCTACTTCTAAGTATTACAGTATCCTAGAACTTTGTCTCGGGCACTTTTGCCTTATACACTGACCTCATTTAGCTCTGAGATTTTACATATAGTACTTAGGCTGTGACTCCCTGTATCTCCAGTGGTAACTTCTGTTAGAATTCCAGGTTTACATCCAGTGCCTACATGACATCTTCACATGCATGTCCAATTTGTGCCACCACCTTTATCGTGGCTGTAAAGGAATCCTTTAGTTCCTTGTACCTGCAAACCTACTTTTGTCTGTTTCCCCATTTCATTAAAAGGCAGTTACTCAGGTCACAATGTAGTCTCGCTGACTGCACATCTAAAATATAACCGTGCTCACTACTAGTGATCCAATTCATTCTGTCTCTACTTGGCTAATGCAATAGCCCCCTGACTGTTGTCCTATTTCCTCCAAAAAATCCACAGTCTATGAGGTACCAGGCAGAATGACTTTTGAAAAATATAAATCAGGTCCCACCAATCCCCTGCTTAAGGTCTATCATACTCAAAATCCAAGTGTCTTGCCCTTTCAAGCTGCTACACAATCTTTCCCCTTCTACTCTAACATTATCTCATGCTATTTTCCATTTTCCCACTGTGTGCTCCAAAGACAGGGCCTTTTCAGTCTTTCAAATATGCCAACTCTTTCCACTTACGAGGATTTACATCAGTTGTCCCCTCCTTCTCAAATGCATGTTGCCATGTCCTTATCTTTCTTTCTCTTTCACTAGTCTCCTCCTCCCTCTTGACCCCTCACTCCAGAATGTAAGCTTCATGAGAAAAGAGACCTTATGTGTTCTGTTTACTGCTCCACTGTTGTGTCTCTGGTGCCTGGAACAGTACCGGCCACATAGTGGACCCTCAATAAATACTGTCATAAGATGAATTTTGCAAGATTGTTTATATACTTTCCATTTTTTATGGCTCAGTTGATTTAATTGTGCTATGATATTTTAATTTCCATTGCATTTGCCCCTCCCTCCGCCATTCATAATGTCCAGACTTTGGACATGGATCATTCTAATAATCTTTTTTTAGCTTTTAGAAATTCTAGTAGAATTTGTCTCTATACATATACAGAAAAGAATGTAAAATATGAGTATAAAAACATAAGGATATGGGTTATTGCAAAAGGAACGCCTTCTTACTAATAACTCAGGTAAAGAAACAGAAGATATACGTCTTTCTATCACTATTCACTCCCTCTCTAATTAAAGGTAACCAGTGTCCTGACTTTTATGGCACATACTCCCTTGCATTTCTTTATAGTTTTACCACCCTTGTATGTACCCCATAACACTAGAGATTGGTTTTACCTGTTTTATATATTGTGTAACAAGAATCATGGTGTATACTCTCATCGTTATTAAGTCTCTACATTGATATTAACTGTAATGTCTATTTGCATAGATCAGATATCTATCATCTGTCTACCTATTATTTACTTAGTTTATTATTTATATCCTTACTTCTCCCATAGAATATTTGAAGTGGCTTATGCAGATATAATAAAACCAAAAAATGTCGTGGTCATGAAACAATACCATGTAGAGAAAGGAATAAAGTCAATGTATAATTTAAAATTGAAGGAATGAAAATAGTATTCAGTTTGAAACTTTGGATATGAGCTTCCTGGAATCAATGAAGAAGTAGAAATGTAAATAATTTTAATATTTATATTATTACTAAAACACACATACCAGTTCCTCACTTAAAAAAATCTAAGTCTCACATATTTTTTCCTTGTATCAGTCTTTTTGAAAAGATACCTAATGTCATAGACATGCTCCAACATATATAATAGTGGCTTATATAGGAACTGGGTACAATGTGTCCAGTGCTTCCCACTTCTCAGTTTGTGTGGGAATTATTTTTGATCAACTTTACCTTTAGTCTTTGTGAGATCATAAATGACTTTGACTTTTTCACCTTTAGTAATCTTATTTTCTGTTCCAAATTTCTTTTGTAGCCATGGTGAGGTTTTTCTCTAAATATAGGAAATAAATATTTAAATGCAGTCATGCTGCAATTTCTTTTTCTTTTCTTTTTTTTTTTTTTTGGTCTTACACTTCGTGTTGTAGCTCTGTATCACATTGTTTGCATTAT